CAGGGAGATGTTTGAGGCATGGAATAGAGAGGAAAGGACGGTAGCTGTACTGGGGCATAGGAGGTGGGTTGAAAAGGCGGGAAGGGATATCGTTAGGATAGACAGACTAGGGAAGACATTTTTGAGCCACCTTTGGCAAAGTAGAAAGGAACGATTGGCCATCGGTGATCGGTCCTGTGGGAACAATGCTCCGTCCTCTCGAGGACGCGTGGTCAATGGCCTAACCGCTAAGGCATGCAAAACATAAGAGTACGCCCCCCCTCCCCCCGGTTCGTCACACAAACACAAGACAACCAGAAATTCTCACACCTTTCGTGATCAAGTTGCGGCAACGGCGCGTCCATATCCGCCTCGCTAGGAGGCTGAGGCTCTCCTGGCTGTTCGCTGTCCTCCGTGTCACCTCCTGCACCCCAGCCCCCTTTCCCGCCCTTCTTGCCCCAACCTCCTACTCGTCGCCAAGCTCCACCAATCTTCCTGAACGATCCCTGTCCCCCACTTTTCCCTGCATCGTTGCCACTACTGCCGCCGGTGCCGGTGTTGGAGCCCGAGTATGAAGGCACGAGGGCCTCCACGGCTCCCTCCACCCATGTTGCCTGTGGCCGCGATGGTCGTGGGATGAACAAGACGGGAGGTGACTTTTTCCACCATACAAACACAACAACAGAACATGGATACAGCGCTGCCTACTTGAGACAAGTTGAAACCTCGCCGAAACAGAGCGAGCCCCGATCACGTCACCGCAACTCAAATCGCAACCGTTAACGTTCCTAGCGGAAGGGTACGAGTGAGAGAGCATGTGGAAAACACTCGGTTGACGAACGTGTTGTCACTGAGAGAAGAGTATCTTGCACCGTGCGGACGGAACCCATGCAAAGCCTGAACGCCAACAACGCAACACATCACAATGAACACAAGCTACAGAGGTCATGCTTACAGAACCCGACCTGTCACAAGCACAGAAACGCACACGGCAACAATCATGGTTGACAATAATAAGCCTCTCAAGCACAGGAAGGCGACCCGCCACAAGCTTGTAAGCTACCGACTCGCCTGGGAGAAGACTGCGGCAAGCTCACGCTTGAAGGTGCCAGACTTCTTGCCTGTCTCCGTCAAGCCGGCCGCCTTTAGTGCAGCGGACTCGGCTTGTCGAACGACTCCCACCTAGGGGCACGCCGGTACATATCATGGAGTAAGTCACAACACGGAGACTCCACCGTACGGCGGAGAAAGAGGGATGCAAGGTTTCGGGTATGGAACCGCTTGGTAGAAACACCGCAACAGAGGACAGGGTGCCACGCCGCAACACAGTGTTTGTTAACCTCCTACGCCGATTATGCCAAAAGGAAGCTTTGGGCGACAAATACCACCACCGCAGCTTCTGCACTCTGCCAAAATTGCCACACCGAACAACAAGCGAAATGAAAATGGTACCATATGTGTGTGGTGTGGACTCGCAGTTGGTCTCTTGCCTTGTACCCCGCGTCCACGAGCCTTCTAAGGTGTACAGCAAGGCGGAAAGTGGGTACGCTGGCCACTTGGAAGTTGTGATCCATGTGTGCGTAGATACGCAACACCTGCGCGAGTAAACGCGAAACAAAAGTGGCCAGAAAGCATGAGAGGGGGTTGACACGGTACTAGTGACGTGCCGCTTCGAGAGCAAAAGTCATTAGTATGCCTGCAAAAAAAACGAAGAATTCGTGAATAGGGAGAAGCGAAAGAGAAATGAAAACACAGTACAGCATCATGTGTATCAAACACAAACACCGCACCGGGCGTCGGCGTGGTAACTCAAGAGCATGACGATCGGTTGCTCGGCAGGACCTTCAGCATACTTCTCATACACAAATCACCCTGGGCTCGACCAACCCAGACATAAAATCAAACGTCTACAACTTACCTTCGCGGCAGCTAGGGCATCGTCGCCGAAGAAGCGATATCTGTACCCGCACTCCACCAGGAGCAGCACGCCGGGATGCTTCGCTTTCAGGTCGACGACCTGTTGCTCCATAGGCGTAAGCTTCACCCTGGCAGCAGCGGCAGCGGCGGCCTTCCCCTTTCCGCGCGACGAAGACGACGACGCACCTCCTCCAGCCCCTGTTGCCGTACCCAACCCTCCACCCGGAGCACCGTTATCACCGGTGCTGCTGTTCCCACCGCTACCCGCAGCTGCAACAGAAGGGCCGTCGTCGCTGTCGTCGGGCAAGGCAGCCCTCAAGCCCGCCTGAAAATCCTTTCTTCTTCTCGAATCCTCCTCGAGGGTAAAGCTTTCAGCACTGAAAACCGCCGCTGACGACCCACCTGAGCCTCGCCCGCCGCCAAGCACCACCAAGCGAGATGAGTTGTTGCTGCTGCTGCTGCTGCTGCCATCACGGCCACCCTTGCTTGAACTATTGCCACCACGGGCGCGGCCACGTTCCCCACCTATCTCCTCGACTTCTTCCATGGAGCCATCCAAGGTTGCCGCGCTTCCGCCCTCACGCACGGATACACAAGTGTCGCCACCAGCGGGAGGCGGCTTAGGTTGCCCAGGCGGCTTGTTGGCGAGAGGCCGCACTCGGTTCCTCCCGGCAGGCCGCTCCTTGTTGTTTCCGAGGCTGCTGCTGGACGTCGGCTTGTTGGATCCTTGCGCACCCGCTCTCGTCTTCGGGCGCTTGGGGTTTCGCCCAATCGGCAAGTCTTCGAAATCCCATCCGTCGTCGTCTTCGCCAATCCCACCGCCCTCGCTGTTGGCATCGGCCTCTGAATCTGAACCGAAAATCTCGATTTCCTGTGCGAAAGCAAGTCAGAGCGCCAAGCGGGGGCATGCAAAGGGGGGCGGGGGTTGGGGCATCGACCATCGACAACGTCTTGTTGTGTTTGGTGGAGCTGTAGTCTGTTTCGAGACAACCACGCTTTGGTAGTACGTGCGTTGGCCACCATTGACGACACAGCTATCTGGGTAGCAAGGTTGACCGATATAAATATTCTAATTTACGGTATTCCCGAGGAAACCCCGGATGTGTTGTCGGTTGTGCATTGGTGCGTGGCCTCCATGAGAACGCGAGCAATCCGGGTGGGAAGGGGAGCTGAGAATCCGGTCTTGGTGAAGGCAAGGGTGTGGAGTGTGGAAGGGTTCACGCTTGACGCGCACGGCGGATACCTCGCCAGTACCACTCTGTTGCGTGTCCCTGCAATCGGCTCGTGTCATGCTCCCCAAGCGAGACCACGGGGCTCGAGGTGCAACAACCCTAGATGGACAACACCACCCAGGGCGCGAAATAGGTTAACTGTACACGTTCCACACCAGCTTGGAACGTACGCAGGGCTATTGAACACCGATACAAGCGGTAGTGGAGGAAGACTGCAGCCGGTCTGCGAGTATCCCCGAGTGTTTTGGAACACAAGGCAGTGCGACAGGTAGATACGACATGGGTGTGCCGTGAGAGGGTAAAAAAACAAGTGACAGTGAACCCCACAAACAAAAACTATCCATATTGTATGTACATTGCATCGTACATGACCCGGATACCAATACTTGTAACAGTCCTTTACTGAGCCGATGTTACCGGCACACAATCTCTGCCACAACTTCATGTACATAGTACCTGGCGCATGCGTGCAACACGGTAGATGCAGCTTGTGTACTCTCCTTACCTCCCGAGCCGCCGTACCACCCACCACTTGATGCCCCCCGCACATCTTACACGCCAGCTGTGCGGCTGGATTGTTGAACGTGCATTTGGGGCATTGCCAGGCCGCGCTGCGCCTAGTATCCCCGCCGGCTGAGGAAGAAGTCGCCTTCTTACGCTTCACCGCGCTTGGCTCACGACAGCGGCTGCCTCCGGAAGCTGCGTCTCCTCGGCTGTCTGTCTGGGGACTTGCCTGGCGCTGCGGAACCAAAACAATAACATGCCTAGCTCTGTGAGCTATGCATCCAAATTGTAGCCATTTTCTGGCGCAAACACTATTTGGCTGGCTGTTGACTTCGACGCTCTAACAGTATATGTTCGTAATTTGTGCCACGAGCCACACGCATGTTTGTCATTTGCGATATGACATTTTGTCGAGCTGGAAGCACACAGTGTACGGTCGAGTGGCAGTGAATACGTGAATGCTGTTGCTGTGTGTGGCGGGTGTTTTGGTCGGGGGCCAAGGGTGCGTGGCATCGATTACGAACACAACTGTTAGCCCCTATTGTTGTTGACGACGGAATGCGTGAGCGTGCCCATCTCAGTTTTTTTCGTGCAAAAATAACACTCGCGTATTTTGCCCCAGGAGTGTCCACGAAGAATCGCATCATGATATCTGTACTCAAGGACATATCAGCAAATTGCTGGTGTTCTTTTGGTGGTCTGACGATGATAAAATGCATCACGATCATATAGGACACCGACACTCAGCAGGCTCCGGAACCTGAAAGGGACCGGTGTGAAGCAACTAAATAAAGCACTGCTGTTTAATTCATCCTCTCGCAATCCTATGCATATTTTACTGTTGAAAACATGCTCTCCCCCGCCCCCTACCTACATTCGGTTCGCGGGGTACAATCGAGGGCGGGAGACTAGTGCACCGCACCACCATGTTTGAAAATGTTCGGGGTAAATTACAGACATTCTCTGCATATGTTGTTTCACCTTCACTTTCTCCTTTGCCGCCGGTTTTTTCGAGTTGCCAGCTGGACCATCATTGGTATCCCCAGGCCTCTTGAAGTACTTCGAGAGGAACTGCTGAGACATAGATACCTGTGCTGTTCGTGCAGGGTCGGGCACTGCGTCGAAGAGACTAGGCGGGGGCTCGCAAACAAACGTGGCCGGAGGAGGCGAGATACCCCCAAAAACGACAGAATCACGCACGGGGAGGGGAGGGGCGGTCTCCGTCTTGCACTGCTGTGCTGTGTATGCCAGTGTTTGTTGTGCAGCAAGCCAATTGGGCTGTCTGGGAGAGAGTTAAAACCTTGTCTCTCTTCCGCTCGAATACGCGCAGTCCACCGGAGCAAGATGAATTTTGGCAAGCGGGATCTTGGTCTGGTACTCTCAGAGACTATCGGAGATGCCGACACCTTGCGCTTTACCAAGGACTCGAGGTGTGAGTCTACGGCACGGTAGATACCTGAGAGAGCGTAACACCCAAGACTTCACCCCAGCCAGCCGAGGACAGAAGGCGCCAAGTACTTGTATTGGTTGCTCGACTATCTACTAGTTTCTTGGGAATACCTAACGTAGACAAAGGAAAGCTGTGCTGTCTAAGGAATGAGTGTGTGTTGGCGGTCCCAACGTAGCGCAGGTACAGCAGTACTTTCCTCGTCTTATGTAGCGGTGGTCTGTCGTGCTGCAAGGTGTATATTGTACGTACACATGACACGGACGGACGGGCATCTTCACAGGGCGACGCTGTAGCCAAGCCTCCTGTATTATTTTTTGTTGGGCGCGTTTGATCTGCTGCTGTACAACGTTAGCTCTTCAAGTTACAAGTCAAATCAGTTGTTACACCGCATCCCGTCGTAGCAATGTCAGCATGACACAAGTCAGCATGCCCCCGTCGCCAGTCCCAGCGGCTGTGTCCTACTTCTACGTGGACATTTGTTGCTGTGCATGGCGGCCTCTGTGATGCTGTCTGTAAACCATCAGTCGAGATACGGTCTTAGAGCTCACAGCAACAGTAATCATTGACCACACTCCCGTTCAAGGGGCACCGCAGATGCATACTGGTTGTACAGAACTACTGAGGAGAGATATTGCGACGTTTGGGTACACTTACTGTCTGGGACAGCTGTACGTAGGAAAATACTTCTTGTGCTATACTTTAACCATCATGAGTCTCTCCAAATACAATATAATTTCCCTTCCCATACAGTCTACCCAAAAAGGTTGACGACGTTGAGTTCATGTGTTTCCCTCACCCTTCCCTCTGAACGGTACTGCTGTAGCCCGCGCCTGCAGTTTAGTTCACATTGCCTAATCACACGATCACTGCGCTTTCTGCCTCACCTTCTTCCTCCTCCACCCTATGCATACGTCGCAATCGGAATGCCTACTCGAAAGTCATCACTGTCACGGTGTGCTTTTTTCGCATGGTCCATCGGTCGGGCCGTTTGACCACTTAGCTTGTGTTTTCCCGCAACTACTGCCTGCCTGCGCATGCCCAACGGCTCTTCGCCGTCCACATCATGTCTCAATGTTATCCCTTGCCGTCCTTCAATCGCGTCCTTTCAGCGAGCTGAGTGGAAAGCAAGAAACCTTTAAGCCCAAGCGAGACCCGTCCAGGAAAGTGCACATCCATCGCGCTGGCCAGCGTCCGGCGGGGGCCAATGATGAAGAGAAGGTGGAAGCGCCGGCGTCAAAGCCGAGGAAGGGCGAAAGCAGGGCGGCCCTGGAGCGTACGCGCGCGAAGATTATGGAAGGTACTCTCCCGCCGAAAACACGATGGATAGTCTAGATTGGCGGCATAGTCTAGTTTGGGTGTAGCCAGGGCCGTGACATCGCCGACGTACAATGTCAGCAGCACGCCACCGCCGAAGATTCGCGTGTGGGCACTACGTTGTTTAGAAATAGACGGAACGAAGGCCATCATCAATCTCAATCACACCAAGACACGTTCCCATTCCTGCTCCCCAACACGCTGCGTCTCCTTCTTTGTGCCCTTGCATCAAAATTTGAAACACCTCCCTCTCACGAAGTAGACGGAACCTTGCGCGTGCTCGACTTGGTGCCGGACCGACTAAAGTGGGACCAACTAAGCTGGTGACCCCACGTTGTTGTCGTGGTTTACCCGCGTTGTTCGTTGACCCACCGCCCGCTTCGCAGAGGGCCGGCCGCGGTCAGTCCGAGAGGCGCAAGTCCTTGACAGCGACAGCGACAGCGATGACAGTGGGCCTGTCTTCGGAGGTCGTTCGGAAGATGAAGGTAATGGTTTTTCAGTCCTTAGATGTACCGGACAGAAGTCTGGCTTGGCACTACCGGCGGCACACGTCCTCCCGAAAATTTACACGGTTGCAGCTGGGTATTTCCCTGCACATTGCGAAGCAGTTCTGGCTTTAATCCACGCGTTGTTTTTCGCTAGCAATGCGAGTGAAATTTGGTTGTGTTGTTGTTGTCTTCATATCAAGAACATGATTTCATTGATGAGCAGAGGTTCTATACCTGGGTTTCTCGGCAGTCGCGAATCGTGCTGAAATTGGTGCCCTCGACTGGGGAAGGCGGGAGTTCCACAGCCATCTGGAGTGGCTGACTTGTTGGATACTACAGAGAGCAAGGAAGTATCGAGCGCCAAGCAATTGGAGCATTTCAGGTGCACAGAGCGATTCATGTCAGCCTTGCACGGCTCAACTTGTTCCTGTCCCGGATGTCTTTTTTATTTTTGGTGGGGCAGCCGATGGGGATGTGCCCTATCGCCCTACGGGGGAAGCTGCAGGAGCAGGACAGGTGGAAGAGGATGAGGACGATGATGCCATTGCAGCTCGCCGGGCGCGCATCAGGGAGCGGCTAAGAGCCCGGCCAACCGAAGAGGCAGAGGTGCTGGAGGTGGAGCAGGACGAGATGGCCAAGTGAGGGAGGGCCTTGATTGAGTTGCTTGCATCTGCTACCCGATATCGACTTGATGAGAGGAGTGGACTTCTGCTTTATGTTTCGCCATCGTGAATGCCTGCTGTTTCCATGCTAGATTACGTAGGTCGATAGTTGGCACGAAAAACTGGCTTGCTGTCCTTGACGATATCAACATCAACATTGGACTCGTTGGTGCATTAGTCAATCTTCCTAGAGGTAAATAGAGTGGTCGCGATATCGGTTCCGTGTCTGCACACGAGTCTGATTCCCAAGCGACTCGAAGATGATTAACTTTTTCCCCTCCGTTGCTTGATGTCGACCTTTACCGCCCATCCCAGGCCTGACGAAGAGTCGGAATCGACGGAGTGGGAGACGGATACAGATGCGAGTGACGAGGAAGAAGGGGACGGTGAACAGGCACGTGCAACGCTTGCTTGCATTTTCGCGCGCACGTTGTCGCTGCACCGAGCTTGTGCATCGTTTGGCATGAGCTGTTGTCCATATGCAATGCCCGTATTGCCCATTTGTGATGTCATTACTGGGGGATAATTTTCTTGCACGTCTCTGTCGCTGCCTCACTCTTGTTGGTCCCCGAATTCCAGGTGCTGAAGCCCGTATTCGTTCCGAAAGCAAGACGAGAGACGGCCGTGGAAAGGGCCAGACTGGAAAAGGAAGAGAAGGAAAAGGAGCAGAAGAGGACTATCGAGAAGGTGACAGACCGACTCAAGACGAGGTGTTTGCGGACGATACGAGTCCGCACGCGCTTGCTTTTTTCAGATGGCAGTAGAACTCATGGTGCGAGTGAGAGAGAGCACGTCGGACCCTAGGGCCGCGAGCTAGTGTAAGCTTTACGTGAACATATATGTCTTGCACGATCTGTGGAGTCCCCTCACACTGTTTGCTGTGGTGCTGCAATCGACAACAGGAAAACCGGAAACGGGAGACGAGACAACTGGCCGCACAAGTAGTTCGGCGAGAGGAGGAGATGACAGAAAACCACCTTGGCGACAACGAAAGCGAAGGCGACGCCCCAGACGACGATGACGACCTAGACGAGGTGGGACAGGAGGATGATGACAAACCACGCGCATCAGCGTGGCTTTCCTTTGTTGCTTGTGGCGGCCCGGGCTGTATACGCGTGTTCAGTCTTGTGCGATCTCCGTGTGGTTCAGCGCCTGTCTCGCACTGCTGTGAGAGCGGTAGAAGCGAAAAGAGGTCGAAGAATCGCGGTTCGCCTCCGATATGACGGGAAGGGAGGTGTTGTTGCAGAACCCAGCCTTGAGCTACGGTAGTAGCCTCAACTTGCTCCTTGAAGGTGCGGGGGGGGGGTTGAAGGTGGGGAGTGCGGGGGGAAAGGGGTTCGCAGCGGAACCTCTTCGTTGCGAACAGTTTCATGCACGCCCCTCTTGTTCCGTGGACGTCAGTGGGAAGCTATCGATGACATACCTTGTTGGTGATAACGAAGTCCTTGGTTAAGAGCTTGATGCAGCGACAATTGAGATCAAGTCCGCTTGAAGAGGGATTACGACTCACTCTCAGTCGCTTGCTTGCAGCGTTGTGGCTCACACGACAACCCCTGTATCTGTGCTTGGGGTTATCCTTGACCTGCCCTTGAATTTTCGTCTGTCGGGTGCGTTTTTGTTGGCAATATATACGCAGGAGCTGGCGTTCGAGGAATGGAAAGTTCGCGAGTTGAGCCGGGTTAGAAAAGAGAAAGAAGAGCGCGAAAGCGCGATTAAGGTGGGTCATGTTATTTGCGGTGCCAGATATGTGTGCGTCTCATGCCATGCTTCCCTTCTCTGAAAAAGTAGTGGTCGAACCAAAAAGACTAGATAAGTTCGCCGTTCCCACGCCATGGGTGCGGTAGTTCTTGCTGATTCGAGAGCTGCTCCACCTTGCACATTCAGGAGCGTGAGGACACCCTCAGGAGGCGGAACATGACGGATGATGAGCGCCGGATGGAGGACATGATGCTCGGGAAACACGTCGGGAAGGACAAAGGCACCATTAAGTTCATGCAAAAGTACTACCACAAGGGCGCCTTCTACATGGTAAGAAGTCTTGTGCCAAGTTAACGGCTTGCACCCGGGCGGTGTTTTGTATCGTCGCTTCATTGTTCCACTTCGCGTGCTTCGGAATGACACGTACGTAAGATTGCGCTCAACTTTCCAACTGGTGTAGAAACCGTAAATGCAGTGGTGTAAGTTGAAGTTGGCGAGAACTCACGAGTGACGTCAATAGTTGAAGTCTTCCAATCCAGCACCAATGAGTTAGTTGAAGTTATCCAATCCAGCACATATGAGTGATGTTCATGAGCTGGCGAGACTGTCTAAACCGCTTCCTTAATGCCAACGACGACCTTCCGGGTGTCGGTGTGCCTGTTCTGATCGAGTACGGCATCGTATTTTTGTTTTTTCTTCCCGTGCCTCGGAACGCCCGTAATGACGCCCACATTGATAGTCCATACAATTACTCAAATTTCTTTCTCCTCGACCCGCTCTTGTCTGCCAGGACGACGACTCGCTCAAGGTGGAGGACGACGTGCGGCGGCGGAGCTACAACGAGCCTACCCTGGAAGACAAGTTCGACAAAACACAGATGCCGAAGCCTATGCAGGTGAGCCTGCCTCACTCTTGATTGTTCAACATCCCCATCCCCCTAGTTTAAATGTAGCGGTGTAATGTTATGATCTGTCTTCCCAACGGTGTCAAATCCAACCGTTCGCAGACCCCGCAGAATCAGAGAGGCCCTGTGCGCTGGACCACAAGTCTCCTTCTCTCCTCAGATCTGATTGCGTTTTTCTGTTTTTTCTCGCTTCGTCAGGTCAAAAACTTCGGGCGGTCCGGGCAGACAAAGTGGACTCACTTGGCCAACGAAGACACCACGCAGTGGGACTCGGCGTGGGCGCAAGAAACGCACGTGGCGACCAAAATGCAGCACAAAATGTCCGGGGTCGGGAACATCGACGCCGCTTTCAAGCGTCGAAAGAAGAAGAACCCGGAGTAGTGGGAGTGGTGCTAGAGAACGACGACCTGCGTGCACGCGTACGGAGGAGGGTCGCTTGGTCGGGTATTCTGTCGGGACGGCGTGGCTTATTCTGCTGTCGCGGCAGAGTTGCTTGCGATCAACGCCAGCAGGTGTAACCCCATAGTCCACGAGATGGAGTTCGTGTCAGCGTCAAGGCGCCACACGTGGCCCTTGCCAGAGGAGTCGGCATGGATCATTGTTCGACGGGCGTTCGAAAAAGCAGACGCTTTCCTCATGGGTTTCCCCCATCAGTTGTCTCTGCTTCGCTACAAAAACATACATGTTCTTTGGTTACAGACACCACCATCGGTGTTCATAGGCGTGCTTTCGTTTGCTTGACCTATTCAGAATTTACGACATGCACTACCCATGTACCCACCAAGGCAACACGAATACATGAGAAAGAAAAGGATTCAATCGAGATCCTGACGTTACAACACCTGCACTCTTTACAAATTGTAACGGGGGGAGCAGTCAACTGGACAGTCCATGTCGTTCGTGTGAAACGTGCCCTCCGTTGACCGTCTCGACAGGCATCGACTTCAACGCATGTACTCCATCCACCCCTCCACTGACCAAACATGTAGACGAACACCTACAGATATAGCGACATGCACGGCGACACAATCTCGTTTCTATCTCTGTTGTTGACACGATAGCGGTTGGTCCAACTCTCGCTTTTTCTGACATATACATCATATCATATGATTCATGGAGGACGGCAAGAGTAGGGAGGTTCCGAGAGCCAGTGTGACAAGGGCTAGCGACACATGTCCTCACAACCCCCTGTGGCAGTTTCAGCAATTTCAAAACTATGGTGGAACGCAGGTGGGACCCGGGCGCGTCGCTTCATCTACGTTGAAACACAACGAATCATCACACAAATGCGCACGCTCGGGCCTCGCCCTTGATACCGAAGAAAAACAGGGCGGGCTCCAGAGTCTGGCCGGGGCTACCCTCGGCCAGTTATCTAGACGAATAACCACACGGGTAAAAACGCACCTCACTTCGTTCCACACCAACAACGAAACCGTTACTCTATCAAGAAACAAGGCACTCGGTACGATGGTGGATTTGTCAGGCGTTTGGTCGAATACATCGAACAACGCCCTTGCCCACCCAAGAAGAACCACACGCACGCGCGGGTGCTGAAAAATGCGCCTCTGACGAACTACGGCTCCAAACGCAACCAAGAAAACACACGACACTACTCTCACTGCAACTGGTGACTTCACGCACAAGGCAACCAACCCAAATCAATCAATCCACAGACAGCGAAATATGAGATAGGTCTAAATCCACCAACATCCACAAGGCAAACCACATCAATCCACGGACAGCGAAATGCAAATAGAATCAGCAAAACGACAGGCAGGGGGGTGAGCCTATCGCTGCGCGATCGAAGCTCCTCCATGGGATAAAACGACACCACTCGTTTCAGCACAAGAACATCGAAGACGCTGCAGACTCAAGTAACTTGGAATCCACGCTTGGGTGCAAGTACAGCCCTGGTTCTGTGAGCGATGCACGGAATGAGAACCATCGACTTTGGGCACGTGCGGTTACTTGTCCGCCCGGGTGAGCGCAGCAGCCACCTGACGAAAAGGAGGACGCGGGGAGACGCTTGCATTTCAGCCTACAGTAGTCTGACAAGAGGAAACAGGCTTCAGGTCTGTGACGAAAATTCAGAGATTGGGGAGATGTTAGTCTTAACCTACGCCGCTCACCCTGCGCCACGAGACAATAGCCAAACAATGAAGACCCTGCTCGCAGAATAACACGACTCGTCGTGATTGCGTCCGAAGGAAACATCATTTAGTCAAATACACAACCTCGAATTGCACCTGCTGTTTCCAACTCGGTCGCCGACCGTAAGGCCGGTAGACAACGACGAGAGAATTGCTGGTCGGCCTGCCGTCACACATTTAACGTGAACATGTAGCATGCATCAACATTCACCATGGCTCAAACCTTAGAGATGGCCTTGTTTGGGCGCCTAACGGAGAAAATGACATGGACAACGCGGGTCAGTGGCGCGAAAGGGGTGAATTCCTTGCCCGTTTCGAAAGTGTACAAACCGTCATACTCGGCCGTACATATCGATTCACCACAAACAAAACACACGGTTGTGGGTGCCTGATACAACAATTCGCCGCGTGCCGAGATAAAATCTCCTCATCACTTGGGTGGGCCTTGAGCACTGCGCACCTCGAGCTCGAGTTGTTGGATCCTCAAATGTTGAGACAAGCATTCGTCCTCAAGTTTGGCCACTTCCACCTGTCGGTCACAGGAAGCGAGAAACAGTTGGCATTCTCATCTCAGCAAAACCTTCCCCGCACGCAAACAATATGCGCGTGGCGGGTGCGAATGGTCAGCGCCGCAAGGAAGAAGAACTAGCGTGCATGATGGATTGAAACTTCAGATGTGCATACGTCAAACAGCCGGATCAACTGGCGAGCACCTCATAGCAGAGCATTGTGACTAACAGGCCCTTACCTCCATCTGACGGGTGGGCTGCGCCAAGCCCCACCTCTTCGCGGTCGCTTCGATGTGTTGGCGCTTTCGGAAAATGGGTCCACAGGTGCTGGTGCTGGAGTCCTGTTCAGTATCGACCATAGAGTCTCCCGGGTTTCCCCAGCGTGGGATTCCTAGATTCCCTAGAATTCGGCCACGGTCTTCTTCGAGCATGGCCTGGCTCACACCCAGTTGTTCAAGGGCTTTCAACCGCGACATTTGTTCGACGCTCAGACTCAACAGCCACTCGGCCTTCATGCCCTGCGAAAACGAGAACGAGGGTCGGTCGTGATGAGAGGAAGAAACGAAGAGTTGGGCGACCCGCGACCAAAAGTTTATGTTCACCACCGTTGGAGCCTACTCGAGGGCAAGGCTGTTGTTGTTTCGGGTTGGTCACGCCGCCACATACGCACGAGAGAGAGGGAGCGCAGCCATGCCATCAGTGTCAGCTTGTGCCTCTCACGAGCCTAAGCTTTGCCACACTCAGACGATCGCCCGATGGTCTGCGGTTGCGAGGAGAGACCGTGCCACCTCCCGCTTGGTAGGGGGATTGTTCGTCTGGCGAACACTATTTACAACCTTGGCCACAACTTGTCAGAGGCTACTTGTTTCTTGCTGCGCGCACTATGGTTATCTTGGTGGCTATCTAGTGGTTAACCTCCCACACCTACTACTTTAGTAGCAGGTTGTGGCTGTCTTCGATTCTCTCTCCGGAGGGTTTCATTTCCTGCAATTTGCACTGGAAAAGGATAAGTTTCATTTCCATTTTTGAGGGCGACATCCAGCAGCAGCCCGACTTCACGGTCGACGAGGCAAAGGGGCGCTGAACGCTTCTCGCGATTAACACCGACACAACTTCAAGGTGACGACAGCAACAAGAACCGCAAGAAGTGAGGTGGGGCAAAAAAATGAACGTCCTCTTTGTGTGACCTCGGCTGATGCCTCAAAACATACCCCGAAGCAAGGTGTGTAGACTGGGTCCAGACCAAATGGGACGTACACACACAAGCTGACCCGCCTCGTTTTGGAACAATCGATTAAGGCGCTAGCGCGAAACAAAAATATATCTGCATCGAGTGCTGTGAAGCTTTCCGTATGCATATGCCTGGGGAGCCTTGGTTACACTTTGATAAAAAATCATTGGACTAACCGATGTTGAACGTAGCAAGGCTAGGTTCCTCACGCGAGCAAGGCTGGGTTGCTCACCCCACGTCCACCCTAACCTCAACCCTCACCCACGGCCAACGCACGGCCTAGCGGCCGCGAACTGGGCGAGCACCCCGTGCTCGGAATGCGAATGCGGAACGGGGAGAGGGCGCTGGAGAGGAATCGGCCGTTAGAACCAACGCAAACAACGCCCGACGAATCAGGAAGTGTTAGTCCTAAAGATCTACTTTGAAGTACTAGCTACTACTTCTGTGCCTGTGCATACGATGATATCAGAATCTACAGCGAAGGGGCTTTCGTGCGGGGCTATGCACTACCTGCCTGTATACCACACAATACATAACACCAACGAGAGCAAATATGAACGGAGAGCGAGGGAATCATGAACAAGAGAACCAGCGTAGAACACCACCACGCACTGCACCAAATGCGGCTACACGTCTACACAAAAGTCCCGTTGGAATGGGAAGGAAGGGCGGTGGCAGTGCTCGGCAACGCCACGCTAACGTACGCCCAATTTACAAGGTTGGAAACACCATGGATTGCAGCCCACACCAGACGTGGTTTGCCTTCACCGATTATATTCTACTTTGTGCGCAGTAGCTGAGATCTTGGCACAGGATTTCTGATATTTGGTGAGTGCGAGCTGGTGGAAGCAGCTCTTGTCATGTACCATAGTCGCCAGCAATCACAAAAAACACCACCAGCAAATTGGGTTCGAAAGGAGGAAGAAACAAAAGCTGACCAGGATCATCGTTAACTACAACCCCCCCTAACTCAGGAACGCCAAGCAAAAGGTCAGCGACCTGTACACCCACATCGCCTAGTGCACCCCGTCTTACCGGTACGCCGGCACGGATAGTGCATGGATTGAGACCGAGGAACCATCTTGGTGTTGAAAATGACGTTTATTTAGAGAACAAGCACGCACACGTCCAGAGTCAGACAAATAACATGCGGGTACATAAGTGATGATGAGTGCAAATGAACGTACGTGTGCACCACGTGGATCCACGTGAGGCCTTGAACAGCAAAAAGACTGTGAAAAAACAAATATTGCTGTTGCAAACCACCCTCTTCACCACCGACTGATAACCTACAGGCATGTAGGGCACGCACGCAACTTGACGCACGCAACTTGATGCACACACAGCAGCATGACTACGGCGATCTGTCCATGCAGCTCATGCCCCGGGTCTCCCACGAACTAAATGAAGAGCCGCTTCAACAGCACAAACGCGGACAGAACGCGGGAGAGCAGTTTGCGTTTCGAAAAAAGAGCCCGGGCGGGCGGGGACGGGCGAGAGTACCACCAGCCCTAGTGGCATTGAACATGCATAGTACTACTGCTGTTGTCACTGGATACTGACGTAGGCAAATACAACTATTCTATGTATACGAGCACGCCATACTCAAAGCATCGAATTTTCAGGAATGTGTCTCGTCAACTGTGTTTCACATGAAATGATAGATCTAGAGGTTCTTGGTGCAGCATTAAAGACGGACGGGTTTGTCCCCGGGCGGGAGTAATTATGGCCGTTGACCCTGGCATTTGGCTTCGGAAGGAATGCAACGGACTTTAATCTCGTACACGTAAGGCTACAGGTACAATTGAAGCAAGTGTTCTTGCTCCAGCCGACGGTACTGGGCAATCGGTGCATGGCCTTTATTCAGCACACCCGCCCGCTTAGTCCCGTCTCTGCCACGGAGTGCTGATCACACCACAGCCTTTGGATGTCATGCACTTCTATTATAATAAACAAACACGTGGTAATCATGGTACCCTGGGTGCCCCCAGTATTGCATACCGACACTCATATGCATACATGCGGTATAGTCGAGGTCGCGTGATGTGGTCTGCAACCACCGCCGTATTGACGTGCACAGTAGTTGGAACCTCCTTCCGGGCTATCTACAGGCGGTGGTGTCGAGCGCTCAAGTAACGACAGCTAACTACGGCAGGCAAGAAAAAACAGAAAACCGCGTGTTTTGCGCGGGGAGCTCCATCATGTCATCTACCCCTCTCACAGGACCTCATATCAATAGACTACATACGACCTCGGGAATATTCAATGCCTCTTCGAAGATTCAGCATCTTGTAGAAAAAATAAGTATGTTGTCCCAGGACGGCGGGCGCATTGCATGCAGAAGGACCATGGAATCGTCTGTAGACTTCATCCGTTGCCCCCCGGAGCGTGCAGCACAACGAGGCAGAGTCTTGCAAAGCCTTTCGACAGGCATACCTACATCTCGATCAACTGAAAAACCGTTTGGCCGTTTGGGGTCGGTTAATTATTTCAAGATCTTTAAACTGAAGGGTCACCGGACCGGAAATCTCCACCACGTCTAAAGAGTCATCATTTTCGAGCAGCTTGCCACTGCCGCGCTGGCCGCCGCCGCCGCAGCTCGTTGGCTCGTTGTGCGAAGCGTGCATAACAGCGATTAAAGGTATCACCCTGTCGCGCGCGCATGGCACGGTGTGTTTGGCTTAATACCTACTGCCATTTACATCCGTTTCTTGAGGTTGCAAAGCACCTGCCGCGCCTCAGAGAGTGAAGGCGTTGCTGCAGAATACGAGTGTCACGGGGTACATCATCACAGCAGTCAACAGTAAATCAATCATAGATCCTACTTTACCTCGTTGTTTGTCCTCGGTCGAAGAAGCTCTGCCACGAGACGGATATCCTCTTCTGTCACTCCAAGCTTCAGCAGCGCCTGGACACGCAGCACTTGTTGAGGTGTCGCACCAATGAACTTACCCATAATGAGCGGGGAGGCGGAAAAGTATTTGGGGCGGTTGCCTGTCTGGAGTGTGTGTGTCTCGGGTGCGTCCCAACGTGCACGAGTCTACCTACCGACAGGTACCGGTTCGGGAACTGTCTTTGTCTGGGTCCCGCCGCCCTTCTCCGGTTCTCTTCCAGCTACAACTCCAGCGTTTTCCGTGTTCCCATGCCCGCCGCCATTCTGCTCTCCCCTCTCTGTCTGAGGAGGATTATATTACTCCTTGTCACCCTCTGCCTCTCTCTCGCCTCGTGTGTTTGATTTATATCCACGCTCCTATTTACAAGCAAGCTGGCCTCTAGGATTTATCCCTCCGGAATTCTATGGCGGTTCAACATGCCGCCGGTGAACACAAGATGAACACGCCCGGAAATGAAGATGGTGGCGTAGCGACCGATCTCCACGTCGCCCTGCAAAATGTGCGCGTAGTGCATCCTACCTAGTACAAGTTCCCAGGGCAGTCGTCGCCAGGAGACGTTTTTGCTTCGTGTGTCTTGTATTTTGTGCCAAAAGACTCGAGCCTGGTTCAACGTCACGAAGAAAAAATAACTCCGCACGGTAAGCAACAACGGTCTTCTTGCGGGCTACAGCAGACCATGTGTAGACGTGCAGTCTACGGCAGACCATGTGTACACTACACTCCCGGGTTTCGTACTGCTCTTTTGTAGGGGTCTGAGGATAGCTGCGTAAGGTGCACTGTTGCATGGAATGGTATTCCTGTACTCTTTCCTGTAGATCTAAAAGTGAATCGTGGCTCTGCGTCCTACGTACGTACGTAGTGGAGCAATGGACACGTAGTCTACTCTATGACTTTAACTGCCCTTTTCGAGTCTTTGGGGCTCTTGTGCCAAAATACATTATCCATTCTATTGAAAATTGTAATCTAGACCAGCACGTAGAAACGCTGCACTTTACCTACACACCAGCCTAGGAGAAAAAAAACTCCGACATGGTGCATAGGTTTACACAGCCGACATTCCTCTCCTTTGAATTCCTCGTAGCGTTTGATGCGTGGCCAGGAGGGTGCGTTAATTCGTAGGAGAAACGTTTTTGTCGTAGACCGAGCATACTGGCATTTATTGTGAACGGCAGACAATGGAGCATAGGTCTACGGATGCAGTTGGGTCTCGTTGTGCCGCCCTGGGGGCGTGTTGGTTCGGACGCATCGGTCGGTTCGGTTTTCTGGGGGTGGTCCCAGAAAGAGGAAGGTCTCGAAGGCCTTCTCAATAAATGCTATGCTGCCTCCTTGCCACTGCAGCAAGAGCTTGATGGACGCGCATCCGCTGGATCCAAGGGCAGAGTGTTGAGGAATGTACAAAGAGTAGAGCATGCGACCCGCTTTGGAGGGTCAAGCGAAATAGGAGGTCAGCAACTAGCCATTTCGAAGCTCGGACCTTACCTAGCAAACATCAATTTTTTGTCAGAACGTCAAGCGATGTTCCGGTCAAATTAGAGACTTGATGTCTAGCGACTGTTGCAAGCTATTGTCCAACTCCGTCCCTCCGTCCCTCCGTCCCTCCGTTCCACTGGGACAAAATGATTTGCGTTGGTCACGGCAGGAGGCGCTTGAAAACCAGGTGCAAGCGTTTCAAGAAGCCCTCGAAGTCAAGGAAGAACGGTTGAGAACAATCACGGGGATGTTGACGGCGACACGAAAAGAGTTGGAGCGCGCGAAAAAAAGCGCCAAGTTTGACCTTGTCGCCGCGGAGGGTCGGACGAAAAAGCTTGGGATTCTTGAGCATACCGTTGCAACTCTCCACCACGATCTCCAAACTAATGTGGAGCGTAGGTAAGCGTATCTGCTTGGCCGGTAGGGGGATCAAAGTGTATGAGACGGTCCCCCCCGAGGTGCAGCGGGGCAAGCAAATCTTCGCGGAAACATTCTGATTACCCAAGGGGAACAAGCTCCGGGGGAGGGGACTGTATAGGGCACATCTGCTAGGTATCATCGCAACGACCACAATTGGAGGAGCGGTAGGAGATTTGCCGGTGGGGTTCCAATTCATGTGCTACTGCGTTTTTCATGTCGATTTTTCGGGTGCTTTCTTCACAATGAGGGTGCCTCGTACAGCGTGTGCTTCGTGGCAACCTGCTCTCCTGCGAATAGTGTCTCTGTCTGGGGTCTTCCACCGCCTTCATACCCATGTCCTGAGTCACCAGTTGATCGTGCATTCCTCGCCCTGGCAAACACAAAACCCGCCGCATGCCACTTGTATATGGCAGATGTACATTACCACCGTGAGTTGGTTGGGTTGAACGCAGAAACATAGAAAATATGAAACATGGTACCTGTTGTAGCCAGCGATACTTCCTTGTGGTCTCCTGTGTTTCATCGTTGACTAGGAGTAATTTGCCAACTTTTTTACCATTTTCCCTCGCACTACACGTCGTCGAGAGAATCACATAAGCCAACAACTTCCTAGGATTTCCTTCCCGCCGCGCGTAACAACGAGTAAGCTACAAGGCGAGAAGTGATATAGATAGGATAGATCGATAGGATAGAGAAAACATTCTTGAGCCACCTTCGGCAAAGGAGTACAGTTGGCGATCGGCGATTGGTCCTGTGGGAACATTGCTTCGTCCTTTCGAGGACACGTGGTCAATGGTGTAACAACTAAGCATGCAAACGTGAGTACGTCCCCCCCGCCCGCCGCCCCCCGCCCGCCGCC